AGGGCCCCTAAAGCAGTCCCACAAGGCCATAACTGGCTGATTGGTGTAGTTTCCATCCTTGCTCTCTGCCCACAAGACAAGCAAGGTGTTGGTGACATGCTGGAGCTGTCCTTGTGTGTGTAATTACAGTGGGTGATTGCCGCTTCCGTCGGGCATCAATCCAGCCCAGAAGCCCTTGCAAAGTGCATCAAAGACTGCGTTGAATCTGGTTTCCCAATTAGCTGACACATGCTCTTGGGGTATGGTGGCTCCTGAGGGTTCCAGAATGTATCAAACTCCCTTAGAGGAGCACCCCAACTTGCAGGAGCAGGTAAGTATTGTGGCAGAAGGTGGATTCTAGTCAGGAACTCACTGAAAACATGTCTGTTTACAATGCTGTCCAGACCCCCCTCCACGTCTTTTGTTTCCTTTCGTCATATCTTTATCTGGTCTTCCTCACAAGCGTTCCTTCTGCAGCTATGATACAGGACCATTGCATTGATAAAGATAATTTATATAGTGATTAACCCTCACAGTGTTAGGGATCTTAGAACAGTCTTCTAAGGTTATACGCGACAGTACCTGGTAGTTTTTAAACACAATTTATTGTACAGTCCAATATGGGTACATTTTTTAAGCAACCCCAAAACAAAATAAGAGAAAATAAATCCTTGCTCTCACCAAAGCGCTAATTATAACACAGTCGCTATTACCATCGTTGGATGGCTAAATCTGTTTACCAGCCTTAACTAAGTATAGCACGTAAATACACCACTGTTACATACAAAGCTGTTACCTTCACTGCAAGTCTGCATCCTCCTTGCAACCAGCAAAGGAACAAAGGCCCAGAGCCTTTCTTGCTCTGACATATTTTACAATTAATTAAAGTTAGGTGTAGATCCTTAGTTATCCCTCATTGTAGTTGCTGCTTGCTCACTGTAGTTGCTGCTTCCTGAAGTGGATACAGACTGTGTGGGATTATGGGATCTAAATATCTTTCTTCCACAACCACACCTCTCTAACGTATACAGTATATTTCAGACTTCACGTATTGTTTATGAGAGAAATTCCAAGGTTCAAATCTTTATTTACTGTGTTCATGTAGGCTGATATATTTTTTATTCCTCCCTGTATGTTTCAAGGCACTTTATTAAAATATGTTTGTTTTGTAAATTATAATTATCATTTCACTAATGCTACTTAAAAGCAAACTCGCTAATCATATTGCCAATGAGAAATAAGTTATATATTTTATGAACTTTCAGAAATATTCTTTTAGAATATGAAATGTAAATAATAAGCTAATGAAGAGCATTAACTAAATTAGAAATACATTTAATGATATTCTTTTTCTTCCTGTCACTCCTCAAACGAGGAGTGAGAATGTATTTAAAAACACTAATATATACCCATGCATTTACATAACCACACATTAGTACAAATTAATATTGAAGGGACAATTAGACCTCAAAAGGGAACGAACACTTCACAGTTTTAATATTTTAATTTACTAATCCTCTATATTTAACAAATAAGTCTTCAAAAAAATAGTATTAAATGTATAAATCCACACTGCTGTATTTAGCAGTATCCTGGAATGCCTCCATTTTGGCTCTGTCCGCCACTGTTATTAACACGTCACACTTTTTATAAAAAGAGAAAAAAAAGTGCAGTGTTCTGAACAGTGATCTAAAGTTCTTAAACAGGAACAGTCACCAGGGAAACCCGCAGATGCATTAAATTGGTTGTAAAAACTTAGAGAAGGTAAGGGTTGCGCCCAAAGTCTCGTAACAGTAAATATACAATTAGAAAACCGACCTATTGGTCTAAATGATACAATAATAAAAAGAGACTATGTAAGAAAAAAATGAAATAAAATCTCACTAAAATAGTGTTGAAATCTTTAAGGGTTGATCAGTATGCATGGTAAAATACGTCTAAAAATTCTCAGTAATATAACAGGATAAATATGGGGTGCAATACTCGGGAGTTGATCCATCCGGATGATAAAATATCCGTATATGTGGAGAGACAAGGGGAGATACGACAGACAGCCGATAGTGTAATGCGTCAGAGATCCAAAGGTAGAATGGATAAAATAAAGCTAGTTGACTCATGTTTAAAAGAGCTTAAGCCAGCTCTGGAATGGATGGCGTCTAGCGGTACAATCCCCACTATGGGACGCAATGGAGAGGTGTTTCCGTCTGTCCGGTTTAGTTATCCAGGGTTCCAGAGTATACAAAAACAACAATAGTGCTCTCAATTTTGAAAGGAGTGTAGTAAATAAAATATATAAAATATACTCACAAGTATAGAGCAGAAGGTACTGCTCTATTAAAGTAGTGTTGGTAGAATAATCCCCATCTAGGATTTCTTTAAGTCCAGGTTTAATTTGGTGACTCAGTCCCTTTTACATCTTTGCATCACTTTTCAGAGCAATAATCTTTTCTATATAAACCAATTTTTTCTGTTTATTTTCCTTTAATGCAAAGTGTTTCTGTCTGGACTGAAATTGGTTATGATGTCCTTTGCAAACATTTTTGTACAAATATTTAAAAGATAATAGAGCATCACATGAAGATAATGGGCAGTTCTCCACTTTGGTCCAAAATTGTTCAGAATGTAGAGCAGTGATTCCTAACCTGTTCTGAACCAAGGCACATTTGTGACAACATTTATTAAGGCAACTGATGAACAAATAAATGTAAAAAGAAATTGTGTAGTATTATTTAATTAATATGTTTAGGTATCTCCGAACCATAATCTATACGCAGTTGCTGTTTTTTCCATACATTTATGTGCATTTTACGCATCACATGTTTCCAATGAATAATATGCTAGTTTATGTAAAACAAAAAGAATTTGGTACTGAAAGTTTAATAAATCGATTGGCATTTGTGTATATATGCTTTCATATAAAGTGTAGGTGGAATATTATTGGCTGGCAATTTTAATTTGGTGATTAGTTTGTGAAGTTTAAAGGGACACTCCGACTACCATAACAGGTGCCTGGAGTGTCCTGGTTCCCCTGCCAAATAATTTGGTAATGGTTTGATTTCCTACTTGAGGTCTGGCAGTGCAGGACTTAGCTCATTGGCGGAGAGTGATTTGCTAATCCTCTCAACCAATGGGCTGTCCCTGCTCTGCAGGGTTTAGCTCAGAAGAGCTAACAGAAAAATATTAAATTTCTCACTACTGGCTGCTGTGAGGACCCCATTAATAAGTCAAACATTTACCAAATGGTTTAACTACTTACTTAACCACTACAGTGCACTGAAATGGTTATGGTGCTTGAGGCGTTCCTTTAAAATAAAATATATATTTTTTCTTTTAGGTAGAAACAATTATTATTTGTAAAAACAATACATTCATTTTGTCTTCGCAAATCTTCAAATGTTTAATCAATCTCAAATTCCTAGTTTGACGACAGCTTAATTGCATTAGCACTGACAGCTAACAGTTCATGTCCTTGTGTTCAAGTAAGAGATTAAAATTTGTCAAGGTCACTTGTAGAGAAGAAAGTAAAAAGTACTTTTTTGCTCAAAATCAATTTAGAAGACTTTCTGAAGATTTATTAGTGTGATCTATCTTCTACAGCAAAATCACTTTCAGCTCAGGAGGCCATCACAATCTCCATCATTTAAGTAGTTGGTCAAATATAGAGTTGTAAATCAGAATCAGAAGAAAACTAGAGGGTTTTTCCAATCTCTGATTCACTTTGAAGAAGTATAAATATCTTTGGCGACTTTAGAGGTAATTCCAATTCACTGTACACTATGTTCTCTTGGTTTAAAGCAGATGGTTCCATGATATATTCTTAATCATAACCTGTGAAAGGTAGTAAAATGGTTTAGTTATCCAGACTCATTTTGCTACTGGTGTGACTGTGATCAATAATCTTTTATATCCGCCCTTCTTGGTGAAGGATGTTTGAGAAGCTGTTATAAAAAGTATATATTGAGAAAAAAACAAACCGTAACACTCTGTGACTGGTTCATAAAGTGACTTCAAATGTCAACAAAGATAATAAAAATGTACTTAGTGTCTCTGCCGGGAAACATAGCAATATTTATATCAAATACAATAGATGAGACATACTCTGATTTCAGATCCATTTTTAGCAAGTTATGACCCTCTTTATGAGTACAATACAAACATTCCTTGTTGACTAATCTATGGAATGGAACATTCAGAATCAATCATTCGTTCTTAAGCTGCTCATGACCTTGAGACAATCCATACTGTCATATAAGACAACCGTACAACACTTTCCAATTGTTCATGGCCAATAAGCTAACAGAAAGTAGGAATTTCTACAGTTAAGTAATTATGTTACCATCCTCATGTTATAGAGCACTTAGTCTTGAACACTTTACATATTGGCTTAGCACAAAATTCAGAGATGGTCACATCTTGAAATCGAGAGAAATCTCAATGTATCCTTCCTGGTAAAATATTTTAAATTAATAAAATAAATCCGAAGGAAAACTGGTGTTAAGCTAGCTGCGACTTGACTGATTGAATCTCAAAGCAATCTTTAAGGAACTAAGCCGTTATTTAAGGATCACCAGTCATCTGTAGAAATATGTCTGTCTATCATTTAATCGATCAGTTTATCCATGTATGCTCTGGCTGAGTGCCCATCATGTAAAAATGATAGCTAAAGGATAAAATCCATTTTGTCGTTGTTAAATAGTTTGCCCTTATTTTGGTAACTCGAGGAAGCTGATCCAAAGAGCTTAAACCATGATTTGAGTTAAACAAGCAGCAGAAACATGGTACTTCTCAAACAGATCTCACATCACTCTTCTTAAGTAACATAGGAACCTTAAATAACTAGATTCGAGGTTAGACGGTGAGTTAAAAAAAAATTCTTAGAGATATTTGCACCATCCCACCTTTCAGCCTTTTACCCTTTTAAAAATTATAAACTGATTTCTTACGTGCCTGAAACTAGAATATTCTTGGGGAGACACACACACACTTACATCCACACAGATATTTACGCTCACAGATGTTCAATTGGCTACAAGTTGGAGTTTAGTGGATAACCCACACACTGTCAATGAACAATGCGCACACATATCTACACTCACGCACAATTCTTCCCTAGGCTTTCCATTCAGTAGATATCTATTAACAGCAAAGTTACCGGGGTCATTAGAAAGATTGTGCAATTATGTCCTATAATTAGCAAGTTATAAACTGTACCTGTGAACACACATTGAAATAGCCTATTGTTGGAGGAATCTTTTTGATGACAGCTTTTAAAGTGAGATACATTTAAAATGCTGCTTCAGATTGACAGAATATTCTGATTCAAATGACAAAATATTCTCTCCTACTTGCCAATCATAGGAATTAAAAATAGATGTCATGAAAAATGTGCTGTCATGCATTTCTCCACATTTGGGCTGTCATGAAGACAGTACGTATTATGATTTGTCAAGCCATACTGACAGTCTATGTGGATGAGATTATCTGACACAGAGAATTGTGAAATTATTGCTCTTGGAGGAATAAAGTTACTTGAGAACTAATCAAAGCAGATGGAGATTGCTAACAACACAAGAGAGGGATTAAGAAGAGTTTTACCCCTCTTGACTGTATAAAAAAAACAGTAATAGTGATAAACAGCTATAAACACTGACCATTATAACAAATAATTATAATAAATAAATATGCATAAAACACACTGCTAAGAAAGATGCTGCTAACTAAAAAGAAACATTAAAAATAAAAATTGTGTGGTCACGATAGTGTTAGTAAAAAATAAAAACATATATTTATTAGTGTGCGGAATGAGTGAGATAAAAATAAATGCAATACATATCCAATTCATTAACTTATCAGGTGCACCTGGCAACAGAATTGCAGAAATGAATGAATGAATCCCAAAATCCGACCCACGAGCTGCAACATGATCCATTTATTCTGATGACACCTTTGTTGTCACCAAATTAGATTTTGCTGTTTTACTCTAAAATGTGTACTTTTGTTTTAGTTCATGTTATTCAGACTCAAATTAAAATAATAAGTAGAGAACCGCAGCAGTGTTTTTTGTAAAATACATGCATTCCATTCATTACAAATTTAGAGATTTGCTGGTTTTTAGGTGTGATTTAATTTTTTTTTGCACATTATGTGCAGCTACCAACTTTTGTAAAAATGTTACTATGGAATTCAATTCTAGAGTTGGGGAGCACTAGCTGATTATTCCAGAAGCAGTCCAGATGGGAATATTGAGCACTTACCCAATGAATCTTTCCTTGAAACTGAATTCTTTAAGATTGTGCAGTGAGCCTGGTTGTACTCAGCATTGTTCCCAGCCTGGCACAGACCAATGATCTATCAGCTGGGCAGGAACTGTGCTCTATAGAAACATAGAATGTGACGGCAGATAAGAACCATTCGGCCCATCTAGTCTGCCCAATCTTCTAAATACTTTCATTAGTCTCTTATATCTAGGATAGCATTATGCCTGTCCCACGCATGCTTAAACTCCCTCACTGTGTTAACCTCTGCCACGTCAGCTGGAAGGCCATTCCACATCCACTTCCCTCTCAGTAAAATAATACTTCCTGATATTATTTTTAAATCCTTGCCCCTCTAATTTAAAGGACCACTCTAGGGTGCCTGGTCCAGCTAGGGTTAACCCATTTTTTTATAAACATAGTTTCAGAGAAACTGCTCTGTTTATAAATGGGTTAATCCAGCCTCTAAAGCCTCTAGTGGCTGTCTCATTGACAGCCGCTAGAGGCGTTTGCATGCTTCTCACTGTGAAAATCACAGTGAGAAGACGCAAGCATCCATAGGAAAGCATTATGAATGCTTTCCTATGGGACTGGCTGAATGCGCGCGCAGCTCCTGCCGCGCATGAGCATTCAGCCGAAGAGGAGGAGAGGAGGCGGAGAGGAGGAGGAGAGCTCCCCGTCCGGCGCTGGAGAAAGGTAAGATTTTAACCCCTTCCTCTCCCCAGAGCCCGGTGGGAGGGGGTCCCTGAGGGTGGGGGCACCCTCAGGGCACTATAGTGCCAGGAAAACCAGTATTTTTTCCTGGCACTATAGTGGTCCTTTAAGACTATGGCCTCTTGTTGTGGTAGTTTTTCTTCTTTTTAAATACAGTCTCCTCCTTTACTGTGTTGATTCCCTTTATGTGTATGGTTACCTGTTTACAGTAAGAGAGAGTAATTACCTTGCAAAGTGTGAGAAGGCTCTCGATACTCACACCGCACAATTATAGAAATGCTGGACAGTTAAAGCTAGAAACCAAAGGGTGGAACAATGGAGCTTAAGTGCGGCAGATTAAGAAAAAATAAAGAAATAAATGGGAATTAAAAGGAAAGTTTACAGGGGAATCGTCCTGTCACGGCATCCACTTACATAAATTATAATGATCCATGGAGTGTCTCTTTAATGGGATTTTAAATAAGACCTGTCACTTCCCTGGAAATTACACTATTGAATAAAACATTAAAAATCAGCTATAGCAAAGTCAAGGCAAACATTACAAATGAAGAACATAATAGAAACTTTGTATAAAATATCCCCTTCCCTATATTGTTTCCCTCCATTGACTGCCAGGTGCAAAGGACACCGTTTATAATAAGAATAGACAGGGAGCTAAGATGGAGGCGCCCAGTTGCAGGATGAAGAGATGTGGATTTCTACATTTAATTTATTATCATGTGTGAGAAATATATACTTTTTAAATGTAAGGTCAAATAAACATTATAATAAAAATCTGTGAAGTGAAAGTTCCATTTTAAAGAGATTTAATAAAGTAACAAAGGGGATATTTTGTTTCAGACTGGACAGGTACATCGCAACCTGAATATTGAGGGTGGAAATTGCGGGACATGTATCAGTAACATTAGGAAATAATGTATAGAAAGAGATATAAATGCATGGAAATGCCCCCTGAGAACAGATGGTAGAGATGAATTCACTGGGACGTATGTTCTCTGTACATTTTGTCCATGTGCCTAACCTAAAAGAGAGCCGCCATTTGAATGCCAAGTCTAATCAATAATGATATATACACATGCACTGAACATGTAGGGATATGCATATGTACACATTATATATACACACGTATAAAGCAAGCTGTGAGGTACACACCAACATTTGTTTTGGCCAAATTTCTGAAGGTCAGTGTAAAAAGGATACTGTCTCTTTAAGGTGCAATATCTTTCTTGGCAGGACTGTTTTGATAATACTGTTAATCATATTTGGAAATGAAATGGTTATTTCAGCACAAATTGATGCGGAACAAAAACGCATTGCCGTAAAGCCATATCCATCAAGTAAATTGGACATTTTCACAGCAATTCAATAAATGTGGATCCATATTGGTGAATCTACAATTAATCTGCTATCTAAACACCCAAAAGCATAATGATATAAAATGTACTACAAAACGTAAAGACACTGAATTACTAGAGGTTTCATTGCTGTGGACAGGGCCGTCTTTAAAGCTGGGCAAAAGGGGCAGCTGTCCCGGGCCCAGTCATTCCTAGGGGGCCCAAAGCAGCTGCCCCTCGAGCCCGCCATGATACATGTGGCCCGCGTGGTACTACCACCGTGGGCCGCATGATGATGGAGCCCATTGGGTGGCCCATGCTCTCAGCATTGATGCTGTGTGTATCTGCATATATGTCAGGTTGTGTTTGTCTGTTTATCTGTGTGTAACAAGTGTGTCTGCATGTTTGTCAGTGAGTGTATCTGTATCTGTGCCAGTGTATATTTGTGTATGCACCTGTGTGTCTGTGTATCTGTCTTTGTACGTCTGTGTATTTATCTGTATTTGTGTCAGTGTTTGCGACTGTATGTGTGTCAGTGTGTGTATTTTCTCTAGGTGAAAAATAAGTGTGGTTAAGTCTACGATCTATATGTGTGTGTTTTTTTGTGTTTTCTTTATGTGTGTCTTTTGCTAGAAGGTGGGAGGGAGGGGAACAGGGGGCCCAAGCAAATGTTTGCCGAGGGTCCAATCAACATTAAAGACGGCCCCAGCTGTGCAAGGGTGTTTATTGCCTCCCGAGATAGATGTCTACATTATCTTCATGGATCAAAAACATAGATGCACAGAAATTCTAGAACAAGCCTTGATCAGCCACAAACTTTCAACCAGTAACCCAATAAAGAACCTTAGAACTCCAAAATAGCTAGTTACCACACAATTAGAAATGTCCTTCTGCTACAGTTGGCTTCAATGTATCTCCGTGCCTGCTACAATGGAGGTGACAGACATACCCGAGCTGTCCAGCTGGTGTGTTCTTTTATTCCCAAACCTCTCAGGTAACTGCCTGGCTAATGTTAGCTGTTTAGAGTGACTCCCCAGGCCTTTACATGTGTTTGGTGCTCTGTGTAGGTTACGTTACAGTTAGTTTTGACTTTTTATTTTTTTTTGCTTTGTATTAATGTTCACTTAAACAAAATATGACTTTTGAAAGTACGTCCTACCTATTCTGCTCGTTCAGACTATTTTGGTTCCAAAAATACTGCTGTATGTGTTGTCATGACTTTAGTTTCCATTGTAGTTGCGCTTTTACAGCTTTCTATAGGAAATAACTGTCAATAAAACAACACGTCTCTTGCTGTGTTCGAAAGCACTGCTAAAGGGAAACGTTTTTATGTACTAGAAAAAGCTTAGTGAGAGTGACTAGTTCCTGGTTTGGTCATGGCTCTATGGAGAAGCTGTAAATAATGGGTTTTTGACGGAAAAGCAGGTGCCCATTTTATATTTTCAATGTATTGGGTCTTTTTTGCATATATTTTTTTTAATGTTTTACCTATAAAACAGATAAGAAAAATAACGTCAATAGTCCGTTGTAGAAGCCTAATGGCTGCCTCAGAATAATGAGAATCTGACATCAGCCTAACATAAATTGTGGAGATGGGAGTCTCTTAGCATCTACACAAAATATAATGACACAATATCAGAAATGTGTTTTTATTGGTTAAAAATGAAGAGGTTCTCAAACTGAACCATTTTTCCTGAAACGTAGAAAGTTTAGGCCATTTTGCCAAAATGTCATTCCACCAAATGGAATAAATCTCTTTATAAAAAAAAAAAAAATATTTTAGAAATAATGATCCCAGGTTATTTTCTTATATGTCAGTTTTGGTTATTTTATTTAAACGTGGACTAATTATTTAGGAAACGTAATATTTTCATTGTATTGATAATTATTTTGCAATTTGCTTTAGATAAAAACTAGCCGAATCAATAGACTAATTCATGAGAGTCGCCAATACAATATACCAGGCAGTTAGAAAGCGAGTGGTAGCCATAAAATATGTTCCTCTGTGCCTTTGTTTAGGAGTTTACAACACTGAATGATTGGATTTTATTTTTTTATAGTAAATCAGATTTAAGGTCAAAATTTGAACAGGTTTAGTCCAGAGTGACGCATGAGTTGAATAGGAAACAAAGTAACAGAGCAGTGATGGGAATTAATGGGAAGACTGTGTCGTTAAAATGACCTTTCATCAAACATTCTCTTCCGATTGTGCTGTGCACCCATGAAAATACCAATATTTTGTGTTTAGCAGCTTTTTGGAGTAAACGTAACTAAATATTGTTTCATAGACATTCATCGTCATGGTGAATTTTTCAAGGTGAAATCATGTCTGCAAGGGAATCAGACTCCTTATCATTCATATAGCTTATTGAGGATTATGATGTAAATCCAAGGTGGCTTCCTCCACCCAGAATAACTGCCAGATGTTTAGTGGGAAGTTACAGCTAAACGCTAACTTGCAAAGATTAAAGTCTTGTTCTGCATAGCACTCAACTCAGGCATCCATAGAGTCGGAATGGCGGTAGGAGTGCGATAGAAAGGGCGGGCCAGTGATTTGATCACATCACTGGCTCCATCCCAAAAGGGGTGTGCCCATCTTGGAAGGTGGCTGGTCTGCCCCCTTAACTGGCAGGTCAGCCTTGCGTGCATACAAGCCAGGATGCTGCCTATCTATGCCGGGTCCTAGTGCCCTGAACATAGCGCAATCACGTCTCATGATGATCTCATGCTTTACTGGTTGGGTACAGTTCCCTGGCGTCTGCAAAAGTTGAGACAGTGTGACAGAACCCAAACAGCGGGACTGCCCCCGCAGAATTGAGACGATTGGGAGGTATGGTTGTGTAAATAATACATCAGTTGACAGAGAGCTAACTCCAAGTTTTAGAAATTATGTAGATTACATTTTATAAATAAAATGCTAAATTGGGTTTTGCAAAACAGTGACTTCATTATTAACAGTCAGTGAATTCATTACACAAGCAGGGTTATATATGAAACTGTAAACAAGTGAATAATAAGTGTCCCATTCACTGAACAGTGAGCTTGAATTAACCAATCAGGGTCTTATTTGAGATCTTTTCTGAACTGATATTGTTGTTTGGGCCAACCATATACAGATACATTGTTAACATTCTGTCATTGAATAGACTCCATGCAGAGACCCCATTGTTAACATTCTGTCATTGAATAGACTCCATGCAGAGACCCCATTGTTAACATTCTGTCATTGAATAGACTCCATGCAGAGACCCCATTGATGTCAGTGGTGAATATTAAAAGTTAAGTTTGACTTCACAGTAATTCATCATCAAAAGGGGGATTATCGTTAAAGGTGATCGGATAATCCAACCGAAAGCCATTGCAAATTTCCCTGTTAAAAAAATCTTTAAACATTGGTGTTAAAAGTATAAAATGCTAATAATGATAAATAAACTAAATACAATTGCAGAAAAGCAACAATATTCAATACTGGAAAAATGATAGAAATCTTTAAATTGTGAGCATTCAAGAAAGGTGTTTATTTCTTTTTTGCGACTTCAGTGGAAACCTCTTCAAAAAGTGTTTTTTTGTTGTTGCTTTTTTCAAGATAAAATACAGGTGAATAGATGTGTTCAAGTTTTAACTTTATGGGTGAGGGCCTCATCCAAGCTATATTACTGCATAACTTTGTTAGTCATTTGCAGCTGTCCCAATTTTGCAAAACTCTGCTTTGTTTGACAACTAAGTCAGTGGAACGTCCCATTCTGTTTAATAAATGTCTAAGTAGGTTTGAACATTAGCCACTTTAATGGGAAAAGCACAGACTGTAAGACCTTTATAGATAAGCCATCTTTGTTCTTGAATATTCTGTAAATATCTATAAATATATATTTGTGGTCAGGGAAGAAGGCCGTATTTATGCGGACCTAAAACCTCTAAACAACAGTAAAATATACTAAGTCGGTTGTGGTGTGCCGAAACCGACGTACGGGTTGGCCTGTAAATAAAGAGGGCCAACCAATTAATTGATTCTTTTGTGGTGTGGTGGGTGGGGCAACCGGAAGTGACCAAGCGTTGTCAGCAAGGTATGGAGGTAAGTAGTGAGTTTATATAGGCCGGTTGCAACCCCTCCCACAACTCCAGGCTCCGCCTTCCCATTTGTGGTCAGGGAAGAAGGCCGTATTTATGCGGACCTAAAACCTCTAAACAACAGTAAAATATACTAAGTCGGTTGTGGTGTGCCGAAACCGACGTACGGGTTGGCCTGTAAATAAAGAGGGCAAAAAGAGAAATATCATTTCACACTTTAATACGTATACAGGCACATTATTATCCGCACTTATTTAGCCAATTGTTTAAAAGCTTGTCTCAACTCTTTCTCAGGTTGAGGTATGTAACGATGGTACGCCGAAGATTTCCAACGTCCTAGCTTTTTAATGATGTGAACTGGTATGTTTTGACTGGAGGCTGATGTAGCAGCCCCGATGCGAAAGGAGTGGCCTGTATATGCCGCGGGATCGTACCCAATTCTTGTGAATAGTAATCTCACGTATTTAATGAATTTCGAGGTCGTCAGGGGTTGACTGTGTATTGCGAGTAGAGGAGCTTGTTTGGGTTGATTAACCATACCGGCCATGTATTTGTCAAATAGTAGTACGGGACTCCAATGATTGCCGGTCGGGTAAAATTGAATGTCGAGTGGCGGACCCATTTGATTGGTTTTTGAATGTTTTACTGACAAGGTGTAGTGATCACCTATTTTGTTTAAGTCTGATACACACAGCATATTCCCCTTATTGTTGACGTTACTTAAAGTGAGCTCGTTGGGCCGCATAAACCCATAAAATGCCAGGTATATGGCTGTCTTGAGTGTGTTATTAGTGGGATTATCGAAAGGTTTGGTATCTAACATGTCAGACAATGCCCTGAATTTCTCAGCATCGATTGGTAGTCGTGTAGTAGGTTTTGGGTTTTCTAGGCGTTGGATGCCTTTTAGCATGTTTTTAATGGGGTGTGCTGACAGGAAGTTTTTTATGCTGGGATATGTGTTGCTTACGTGATGTTGTACTCCAGTTAAATAGAGTTTTATGATATTGTGTGCCAGTTTTAAGTTGAGATGGCAAAAAGAGGTGAATGCTACCATAGTATCTAACCTATAAGGATTCGTGATGAGGTATTCTGTCACAAATTTATTGAACAATATTAAGGCTCGATTGTAAGTGCGTCTAGTGTTTGGTGAAAGTGAGGCCTCTGCTAGTGCTCACCCGTGTGCCATGAGTAGTTTTAGTCCAGGATGAGGTCTTTGAACTGCGGAGCCTTGTTTGGCTGTTCTTCTGCTGTTGGGTGTAGCTGTCTGAAAACCTGTAATTTTGAACGGGATAGTGCGTCAGCTGCTGAGTTGTGGTGACCTGGCACGTGTATGCAAGTCAGGAAAATATTTGGTGTAGCTGCCAACCATGTGAGTCTCCTGACCAGGCTCATAATTGTTAGTGAAGAAGACCTGCCTTTGTTCAGAATCTCGCAAGCTGCCATGTTATCAGTGTAGCATTTGACAGCTTTCCCTCCCCATAAGTGGCCCCAGACTTTAGCTGCTGCCACTATGGGGTAGATCTCAAACAGTGCCGACGTTTTTGTGAACGCAGGTAAACCTAACGCTTCGCTAGGCCACGCGTCCCTGAACCACCTGTTTTCGAAAATGGCTGCAAAACCTGCGTGACCTGCCGCATCCGTCCATAACACCGGGGAGTTTAATGTCAATGGTGGTATAAACAAGTTTCTCCCATTCCATTCTGAGAGGAAATGGTACCACATAGTCAGGTCTGCCCTAGCCTGAATATCCAGAGTAACCCTGCTGTCGTCGTTGGGTAAGTTGGGTAACAAACTAAGTAGGCGTGATATGAAGGCTCGTCCCTGTGGTATAACTCTCATGGCGAAGTTCATTGAACCCAGGAGTGATTGAAGATCCCTCCTAGACGTTACACCTTTGTCCAGGAATGACTCAACCTCTACCCGGATTCTCTGAACTTTGTCCGCTGGCAGGCAAGCTTTCATGGTAGTTGAGTCTAATTCGATACCTAGGAAGGTTAGTTTGGTGGTGGGGCCCACTGTCTTGTTCTCGGCCACTGGTACCCCTAAAGTTTTAAATAATGCGACTGTCTTGTTGATGCTGTGTGGTATTGTGTCAGGTTTCTCTACTGTTAGAAAGTCGTCCAGATAGTGTATGACCACTGGGCAACAGCAGATATTTAACAGTAGCCAACACAGCGTCTCAGCAAAAATATCAAACAATTTGGGGCTACTTTTGGCCCCAAATGTCAGCCGGTTGGCAAAGTAGTATAAACCTTTCCACCTTACCCCATGTAGATGCCATAGAGAGGGGTGCAAAGGAAGTAGCTTGAAAGCATTTGAAATATCGGTTTTCCCGAGCCAAGCTGCTACCCCTGCTTCCAGTATGGCTTGTATGGCATTATCTACTGTGGCATACTGTAAAGAGAACTCCGGCGATGGTATAAGTGAATTTAGGCTTGGTGTGGTGCTGGAATGAGGGGCTGACAAATCAATGATTAATCGTGCTTTATTGTTGTATTTGCCCCATGCAATTCCTATCGGACTGGTTCTCCAACAAGTGAATGGTGGCCGTGTGAATGGCCCTAACATGAAACCATTCCCTACTTCAGTTTGCAACAGGATGTCTACTGTTGCTGGGTCAGTAGTGGCAGATTGTAAATTCCTGCACTCAATCGTTCCTGATGGTAGTGCCACCAACCCCGTGTGAAACCCCTCTGTGAAACCAGTGATAAGAAATTGTACTAAGTCCCTGGATGGGTGTGAACTGAGGTAAAAGGCTAGTGTGTCGATATTGACTTCCGTCAGTCATTTCTTGGGGAACAGTCGGTTAGGACACATCGTCTTAGCATGGGCTCTATGGCAGAAGGTGCAGACATGTAACAACCTGCAAGCGCTGAAGCTGCAACCGCCTGCGTTAAAGTTGTTACAAATCTGCGCCTTCACCAGGAAAACTATTGGCCTACCTAATTTGTCTTTAAATGTCCTCTGTTCGATGCTACTGGTGCTAGGGACTGCGTAGCTGGTAGTAGGAAGACTTGGTTCATTTGGGCACAAATTGGTAGTGTGGGTGTTTGATGAACAAATTGCGCAAGAAGGTGGTATAAGGCCGGCAAAATGGCGGCAGAAAAGTTCGGTATCTAAGTGCCTACAATCGGTTCTTATGTTGAATTGTTCCAAAGCTGCCGCTGCTTTTGCCGAAAATGATTTGTGGTAATCAAAGAACGTATGGCCACCGTACTTGTGTCCCAGGTCTACCAATTTGTGCAAATACAAATCAAGTTCTTCTCTACGATGGGGAAAAGTGGTGCATACAACGTCTCTATATATGCCAAAAGCCAAGACGAACTCTGGTATGGTTAATTTTTACTTAGTCTGGGGTCTCTAGCTTTCATCACTACTGACAAGTCCCCATAATTATAGGTCTTATTGTCTACTACGTCTTGGGACGCTATCAGTAGGGAAATGAGGTTGACGTCTTTCCCCTCTAAAATATCTTTCCTAATGTTGGGAGGTACCAAGTGTGCTGGCGTGACAATGTGAGTAGTAAGGTTTTGTGAGATTTGAGCTCCTGTCACATTACCCTGTGCGGCTATGTGTTCAATCTCAGGTGTAAGACTGATATCAGGTGCCACGATAATTGGCTCAGGAGCTTCTAGCCTGTCCATTCTCTGGCTGATGTTACTAATAGACGCCAGGATAGATGTCATGGTGGCTTGCAGGCCTGCTATGGTCTCGTTCATATTTCCTTGTGAGCTGGTCCCTGGTTGCGGGGTGTCGTTGGTTGTCATCATGATCCTATATAGTTCGGCTTTCCTAGCCGTGGCCGGATATGGTACACCCCTACGTCTGAGTTCTGCAGCGATTTTTGGAATTGTCCATGACCTCATGGAACACGGGCTATCTAGGTTTTCGGCTATAGTTGGGCCTGATGGAGGGGTGTGTGGTCTGGCTGGCGTACAGGGAAGGGAGACGTCTTCTCCTATGTCGGAGGCGTGAGACATCCTATATAAACGACAAAGGGTTTGACGTGACTTATAAGTAAGTTGTCGTAGATAACGAGGTAGCTGACGTATTGTTGATAGCCGTTGGACCGTATAGGGGCTCAACTATGCGTTGGACGTGTGACTGTGCCACCGAAGCGTTGTGGCTGGAAGGTGCCTTATTAACCCTATGACCGTGAACTCGGCATGCTTGGTGAGGTCCTACTTATATTTGGTTGAGTATTGTGAATTTACCTATGAGTTAAACCGAAGGTGAATACCTTTGTGATGTGCATAATTAGGAAGTATCTCGTGGAAAATAGAATATATATTTAACATTTATATAGATATTCCTTCCACCACTATTTCCAGTGTCTATTATTGTGTCGTAGGTATGACTTATAGATCAATACGTACCTGATGATTAGGTCTTTATGTTACGTCTGTAGCTGTATGTGCTAGGTATGCTTGGCCTAAGATGAGAATAATAAAAGTAAACCACCCGAATAGGTGTCCCCCTCCCCTAACCAATAATATAAAAAAAAATTTATTTTTTTTTATTACCTGTACCAGGACCGTAAGTGTATCTTATTATTTAAATTCCTCAGAAGTAGTGTGTGGTCTACTTCTCTGGCGAGTTTGTTTTGACCAGCGTTGGTCTTGATGACCTTTAACCTACGAGGGTAAGACGTAATAAGATACCCATATTGGTTTGAAGTATATCTAATGTTAGTACTATGTTCTAGTACCAAGCAGACTTGCGCAAGTGCCTCCTTATTTCCCTAATGAACGTACCGTATGTTACCGGCACTCCCTTGTGCTGTGTAGTTCTTGTGTTGAAAATTAGAACAGACCCACCTGCAAGGATATGATAATACAATTCACCTTATTGTATCCACCTTAGTACCTATTTCCACATGCCGTATATATGAAACAATGGTACCCTTCCCTTCCCCCTTAATTGTTACTACCACCGAAATTATACGTGATTTATGTCTATTTAGTTACCTATAGTTGTGAACAGACCGCTATAAACGTATACGCCCGCCTACTAGTTTATTTATATGCTCTGTCAAATATTCTCTTAACCGATTTATTAAAGAAAATATTATTGTGGATATTCCTTAAATATTTAATGACTTAGCCCGTATTGGTGATGAAGTTACCCGACTTATACAGTTATTATGTTATACTTTAATACATATACACAGAAATCATACTTCGTTTTAAACTGTTGCATACATAGAGTGCAATACGTTAAATTCGCCTGTAGGTGGCAGTGTTACTGTGAGAGTAGGAAGGGGAGAAAGAAAAGAAAAAAACAGAGTGTTGTAACGTATAGTAATTCGTGTTTGTCATTCGTGTGTTATGGAAGCCATATTCATGCATTTAGACCTGGTTGGATTCGTGTGTTTAGAACCGAATGTAAAGCGTTCGCGGAATTTTAAGACCTATTCGTATGTGTTCCCCTTTCCCTCGTCTGTTGGATTCGTGTAATTACTGTTCGCCCAGACGTGTCGAATGTTGTATTTAGTTCGTGAGTTTGAGCGTTCGTATGCCCGTACTCACGATTACCGGTCCCTTGACCCCGGAAGTGCGACCCGGCGCTCCGGAAGTTCTTGGTGGCGTGTGCAGTCGGCGAGCCCGCCGTGAACGAGGGTATCTGCTACCGCCGAGCCTGATTAACGGAAGGTGATCCTGCTGCTGTGAAGGCTGATGACCTGGTGTAGTTGATTCCCGCCGTCTGGACCGGAACCGGAAGTGACCAAGCGTTGTCAGCAAGGTATGGAGGTAAGTAGTGAGTTTATATAGGCCGGTTGCAACCCCTCCCACAACTCCAGGCTCCGCCTTCCCATCTAACAGAATCTTGGAGATATTTGAAGATATTTAAGTAATTGCAATAAAAAAAATAATTAAATAAACGAACAGAAAATCTATGATTTAAAGCAGTTGTGGATAAAAACAAGGCATGCTGCTCTCAATTACAGCGGCTGTACGGCTAAGCCAACCCCTGCAAGTTGCACACAGCAATTAGAATGCTAGATATAATTCACGTTCCAGAACCGCCCACATCTTAAAGGGACAGTAAGGGATGATGGTTATACAGGCCACATAAGTGACCATATTTCTGCTGCTATTAATATTTGTGGTGTGCAAGGAATGCAATAATACTCTTATTTAGTTTCATGTTTGTTTATTTTATTTCAATAAGCGTGTTATTGGTTTATTCATTATTTAGTGATTTATGGTGAAATGAAAAACAGTTTTGCAAAATATAGGCGCTAGTAAAAGGATAATTTACCCTTTCAATTAATTTAGGATAACATCATTTTTGACCAGTTTTTTTCAAATTTGGCTTATCTACTACACCTCAAAACATGTTTTGAAAATCTTGTATCTGTCCTTTACTATCCCTTTAAAAAAGTCGCAATCAAAAATTGGATGCAACAGAATAATAATCTAGAATTAATTACGAGAAGGATGATGGTAATTATATCTGTGCAACTAATAGTGAAATCCAATTGAGCTCCAGCAGAATTTTCTATGGATATTATCTGTACAAACTGATTAAAAGATATTGCATCCTACTCTGTACTGTACATCACGGTATCAATGTTAACAGATCCAGTATTTTAATGAAATAATTGTACCACCCATGATGTATACATGGGCAATGGATGCATTGCTGTTTTACAATTGTATATATTTTACAATTACATTTTTTTTTTTTTTTGGTTTTCATTATGAGCAAAACCCTATATTGCAGCTTTGTAAAATAAAATTTTTTGGGGGGCATGTTTTTGGTAACTGAATGTAGAAACACTTCCTATAAAAATCTTACAATTTAACAGTAATCCAATGTGGATTTTTTTAACATAGTATAAGTAATGGGACTCAATGCTAGTAAACACAGACCACAATGTGAGTATAATGTATATATATATATATATATATATATATATATATATATATATCTATGTATATACACGACAGACCCCTGTGTACATATACAATATAGACTTATAAATATCAGTTTAACGGTTTATCAATACTGTATATGTTTATGTATATAAATAGGCAGAATCTTAATGTACAGAAAAAAAAGGTTTATTATTGAAATGTAAGGTAAAAATATGTATTAAACAAAAGATATTTTGCATTACAATAAAAGCTTTTTTGACAAAATGATGCCTAGAGTCAAATGGTGGAATTGGTAACATGCAATAATGTTACTCATTAATCAAGTAAACAGTTACTACTTGTCCTTAAAGACTGTGACCTAAAACATTTTCTAATATAATAATCCTTTCATCAAATATTGAGAGGAAATAGATTTTTTTTTTATTAAAATGAAGTATATTATAAAAAACCATCTTTACCTTTGACCTTTGACCTTTAGTATATGACAGGATCCTTCGGCCATATACATACACCTTCAGTCAGCTAGTGTTTAAAAACCAACAGTTAGTCTCTATAGTCTTCAATGCTTCCCTCCCTTTACAGTGCATTGACACTATCAGCCCGATATTGCTCTGTGCAGTCTACTAAGCAGTAGACTTTCAAATGCCTGTAAAGCAGAAACAGCAAATACTATTAAAGGGACACTATAGTCACCAAAAAGTTTTAGCTTAAGAAAGCAGTTTTGGTGTATATTTAATATCTCTGAAGTCTCACTGCTCAATTCTTTGCCATCTAGGAGTTAAATCACTTTGTTTTTTTGAGCCCTGGGCACACCTTCCTGCATGTGACTTACAGAGCCTTCCTAAATACTTCCTTTAAAAAGTCATCTAATGTTTGCACTTCCTTTATTACAAATTCTGTTTAATTTAGAATTTTGTAACTCCTGCTAATAGCTTGCTAGACCTTGGAGGGCCCCTGTATGTGATTAAAGTTCAATTTACAGAGCAGGAGTTAAATCTTTTAAAGTAAGTAACATGTGATTGAACATGAAACCATTTTGTTTTCATGCAGAATGTGTCAGTCACATTCAGGGGAGGTGTGGCTAGGGCTGTATAAACAGAAACAAAAGTGATTTAACTCCTAAATGGCAGAGAATTGAGCAGTGAGACTACATGTGTATGATCTAAACATGAAAACTGCTTTATTAGGCTAGAGTTGTTTTGGTGACTATTGTGTCCCTTTAATTATATCCTCAGACATCTTTTTACTGACCACACTGAAGCAGATCTTTGTCAGTAAAACTGATGTTGTCACTGCACTGTGCAGGGAGTGAAGCAGGGAAGACCATAGGGACTGTCTGACTGAATGCGCATGTGGCTGAAGGATCTTGTCACATACAAGGTATGGATGAATTGTTCTCTTTTTTTTTTGTTTCTTTATAAATGTGTTTGAATACATTGGAGGGCTATGGGTGCTCGAGAGAGCTCCAAAATGGTTTGACACCATGAAGGGAACATTTACTGTTCTGCTGCCAAGTTCTTCTTAATTAAAAATTACAACTAAGCACAACAGTGGTTTGGTACAATGAATACATAGCATGTTCAAAAAATTGGGAAAAACCTGCAATTTATACAATTTATATTTTTGCAAAATGATTTTGGTAAGGTGGAAAATAAAATATTAATATTTACACCTCCTCTACATAAGCAAACCTGTGCGTTAAACAAGGCATGTTACATATCCAAAGGGGAGAAACTGATTGCAATATCTGCTGAGAATTTTGTTTTCTACGCTGGATGACGTTGTCTATGTATGTGAGCTGTGAGGAAGTAAGTGGGTTCTTTACGTAACGAAACCAACCTTATTTATACAGAGGATTCATTTGGAAAGGTTTTAAAAGGACACACTCACTAAACAAATGTCTTTGCTACTCCCAGTGTTTGATAATTAATTTCTGAGTCTGTCACCTCATTGCTAGGGTTCTAGGTGAACCGATTCTCTCCAGGTTGAAATGGCAGAAGAGTCTCGCATTTAACCCAGCTTCCCACATTTTTGTGGCAGATTCAGTCTGCAAGAATGACACCCTTGTAGGAAAGCCTCACAACTGCCAACTAGTTCTTTTTGTCTGAGACGGACACTTGCTTCCTCCAAGGAAAAGGACTGTGTCTGGCCCAACAATGTAGCAGGTATTACTGGTTTCACAGCTGCAGACATGACTAACACATACGGCTGATGTTACTCTGTGCTTTATTCAGTGGGATCGTGACTGAGTACTTCGCTTTGAGGAACTTGGCTGAGAGCATATATAGTTGTTCATCAGTCATTTCTATTTAATTTGGCAAGTGTCCTTATTTAGTTTGAGAGTTCCTTGCTGAACATGATGATAACTTGCTGAATACCCAATGTATTTGAATCAAGAGCTATTACCTCAAGAAGAAGTCTGGACAACTCCGCTTTGGTAAACAGTTCACTTATTGCTATGGGAATTAAAAAAGTCTATGTTTTACAAAATCATGGAAAGGGAAAACTGCTAAATGTATTTATTTGTGGTTGAAAGTGGTTATTCCTAGTACTCCTAGTTATTCCTTTCACAGATAGACTTCCAGATTTAGTTACATTTATTCTTGGGCTTATGGTTAAAGAATGGTTAAAACTTTAAGAATGGAGGTTGAGATTTTTAATTTAGTTTATTTTTAACCAATTTTCTCTTTTTAGCCTCCCCTCTGGAATTTAGTGAGATTTAATGGCAAAAAAGGGGCCATACTAGAAACAGCTGTTTTACAACCATAACAATTCTTCATGGTATATATTTTTTTTGTAATTAAATAAATAAAGATCATTCTGGCATCATTACATGTATTCCTGATCAACAAACACCATGGGTAAAGTAAACTCAAACTGCAGGTGTAAATGATAGAAGCATGTTTGCTGCAGGAGCTAATTAGACGCTGGGATGTGGGGACCATTGCCTTGCCAATGATGGGAATTGAACTAATTCACAGTGAGCATCTGAAAATGACCCTGTGGTTATGAAATCTGAGGAACTGTATCCACAGACAATACAGCCCTGAACAGGGTACCAGTTTATCCTTTTAAAAAACATTATTTGTCATCCAAAATACTATTCATGATATAATCATATAATCAGAAACAAAGACTTATCCTGCATATCCTTCAAACAAAGAGTGTTTTCATACATTGCACTGTAGAGATATATATTTAAGTCACCCCTAGTTTTCTCCTTTCTCATTCTTCTTTTTCATTACTCGTTCACCTATAATCCATCTTTATTTTAGCTCACAGCAATTGTCCCTTATCCCCTTAATATATACAGGCTCTTTTTGCCAGCATTTTGTTCCTTGTCTATTTTTTCCTTGGTATTAACAGAATTAATAAGTGGATGACATTATTTATGGACCTGTGTCCTCATTATCTTCTCTAGTAAAGGGGTGTTGCTGACTTGGTTTTTGCTACAAGTCTACGCAAGTTTGTGAACCTACATACCTTAAGGTCTTCTCCAACATGGACAATGGATAATTGTATAGCCCAAGATCCCATTGCTGAAATTTGTTTTCTGGCACCTTGGTTCTGGACAAATAAAAAAGTTATAGAAAAGTCCAGATCTATCAACAAAATCTGACTTCATGGAGCCCGGTAGAATGGTCCAGATTCCATATAAATTGATTCCTGGAAGGAATATAAATGCAGGAACTACCCTGCATGTAGCAATGCAGTGATTTCAAATGCAGACTGTATTAAATCAATCCAGAGGCCACTACATAAATAATGTTCAGTTAACGCTCATTTTATTCATGAGAACAGACTTTTGAATTTTCTCTGGTTAAAAGCCAATGCTGCGTGTTCCTTTTCTTAGTAAGTAGATGATACATTTTAATGCCATAAAGTTCTACTGGAAAAAGAAAGCAGACATTAGTTCCTTCAAACTGTGACTGT